AAGCAGAAAAATGATCATAAGCCACCACTGACCATGCACATTTATGAGCTTTGAATTGAATTATTTTCACAAGAATAGGACTGAGTTTGCTTAAGAGCTTTTGGAAGCTGACTTTAAAGCAAATGATTTCAGAAGTTTCTCTTCCTCTTCTTTCCACTAACTCTGGGCATAACTTATGTTACTCTGTCCTTACTTTCTCATTAGAAGAGTCAGCTCTTTCAGTAGCTTTATTGATTAACTCCTTGAAGCAGAGGGTATCTATCTCTCTCCTGAACTGACCATTCCTCAATCTATTGTCTGACTTTCTTTTTCCTAAATTTTTGGGTTGGAGGAGATAAAGGAAGAAATGATTCATTGATTCAACAAATGCTCTATGTCTGTGTGGGCATTATTCAAACACCGGGAATTTTATAGCAAAAAGACAGACCCGGTTCTGCTCCCATGGAATGTACACGTTTATGGAACTAGTGGAAGTAAACAAAATATTAATATATACATTACCAAGGACATTAGAATGGATGAGTGCTATGGCTGAGTAAACACGGAAGGGGATATGGCTTATTGTAGGGTAGGCAGAGTCACTATTGCCTCACTGGGAAGGTGACACTTAACAGACTTGAAGAAGAAAAGGAGGTAACCATTACGGGTAAATTCCATGGCTGGAAATTCAAGGTCTATCACACTTAGTTTGTGCTTTCCATCCTGTGTGGTTTTATTCTTCTTACTTTATTGCTGAAAAATCCATTCCCCTATCTGAAAATTAAGGACCTACCCAGCCATCTAAGTTCAGTTCAGTTGAAATTATTTCCAAGAATCCTTCGTGCATCCCCTAATCACAGTTCATTTATCGCCCTCACCCTCCACCAACACAGGACTTTGTGCTTCTGATCAAAGCATGGTGACTACAGCATAATTAATCATAGAATACCTTAATTTAAAGACTGTGTTTACATAAGCATCTCCCAAACTTGATTCTAAGTACTGTGTCTGATCCATTTTTTTAACCTTCAATATTGTCTCATGTATAATAGTTACCTATAATCATTTTGTTAAATTGAAAAAAAATTACAAGATTCAAACAACAGAAAGGGACTTGAATATACAATCTCTAATTCACTTGTAAACCTGAAATTCTATGAGACATTTTCCTTCCTTGTAACTACAGCAAACAATATTACATACCTGCCCATGAGCTGGCTGAAAATAGAAAGAAAGTGCCAACTGTGGCATCAGATCAGAATAAAGCTGACAGTCCCAAGGTTGAATAAAGTTGACAGTCCCAAACTTAGACCAATGATGCCAAGTTCTAAGGCTATAATCCCTAACATAGGTGTCCACTAATAGAAGGTATTCAACTTACATGAAGTGAATGAAGAAAAATTAATAAAGTAGTTGCTACAAGGTCACTCCAAACATCACAGGCACTGAGGTCAAATTGATCTTGATAGAAAAGCAAACCAAATCTTTCCTTTGTTTTACAAGATTCACCTTTTCCCATAAGAATAAAAATTGTCAAAACAAGAATCCTTGACATCAAATATTTGCCTTTGTAAAGAAAAAAATAGTTTATAGTATCTATCAAAAATTCAGAGAGCCAAGCAAAACTCCAGCAGCACCTGGTCCCTATGCATAAAAGCATGTAACCCCCTACTCTGAGTCTCAGAGGCTTACAGCCTAATAGAGGACTAAAGCAAAATCAAGTGCACAGGCCATCTGGGACAGTGGGAAGAAGGTCAAGTCCAGGAGTTAAGATTTCTCAAATGCACTAAGAGTTCTCTCAAAACTACAGGATCTACAACTCCTTGGGTCTCAGTTTCCTCATTTCCAATAAAAGAGAATTAAATCATTCAGCACATACTCAAAAGGGCTGCAACTAGATGCCTCGCTCCGGGGTAGGACTTAACGATCCCCTAGGTCCCTCTCAGCTCTGAAAATCTTACAATTCTTATAGTCACATTTAGTAGACATTCTTTTGGCTCTGACCTGAAAATTTGGCTGGAAACAAACAGACTTTTACATAAAAACACACATTTACCAGCTATAATTTGGACTTGGCAACATAAGGTTTCACCATGGCTGAGGGGAAAAAGAGCAAAATTTTCTGCAGGCCACATTAAGCTCATAGCTAAAGGAGGTGCAAATATGGCCAGAGCAGGGCAAGCCACTAACACATGCAAGTCACCACCACACATGACAAGGGTATGTCCATTTTCTTTTGAACTCATCAACAATCTTCCACACGAAGAGTCTTAAAAATAACATGCCACTCCCTACCAGATTTGTGCCTTTCTATTTGGCTAACTTTATTTTTTATCCTCCTTCCTTCTGTTGTACAGGGAACATTAGCCAACATGGCAACAGGCTTTTTGTTTATTTCCTTCCTCTTCAAAAACAAAGCAATGGCTTTAGTACATTTACTGGAATAAGGTCCATACAGAAAAAGACTTTTTATAATTTTATGAAAGCCCCGTATTTGATTTTTTTAATGGAACTCACTGGCAAAGCCTTATTATTGCTCTTACATAGCAATACTACAACATCAAAGTATCTGTACAGCCATTTCAGTTTACACTTTCAAAGCCATCTGTGTTCCATTTAATTATAAGAGGTAGGTATGTTCACCTGGTTTTTAATTATGAGGAAACTGGGGCTAGACAGTGTGGTTCACTCAAGATCACATAACTAGAAAAAGCTGCATAACTACTTTTCAAACACAAGTCTTCTGTCACTAGTTCAAACAACTTTTTGAGAATTAAAAATTTTAAATGCAACAAAATAGTTCCCACAACAATCCAAGAGAAAAAATAGAGTGATTTTTTAGTTGTGCATATTAAACGATATATATATAAAAAATCCAACTTCAACAAAATAAGAGCAAAGATATATAAAAAGAAAACTCTAAGGGTTTTCTTAAATAATGTTTATTAAAAATGACTAAAAATAAAGAAAATCGATCACATTATTTTTATCTGCTAAGAATTCTGTTGCATAAAATAAATGTAAACATTGTAGCATTCTTGTTCATTGTTGGCAGCTGATCTTTTATTAGCTTACAGCAAAATAAAATGCAGGAAGTTTGTGACACATATGAAAGATAAAAAAATATTAATAGCCCTTAAAAAATCTAGACTCTAAACTGAATTGAAACTTAGAGTTAAAACTTGAACTTACTATTATAATTTCAGCTGAGCAATAATATGAAAAGCTTCTTCTCTTTCTTAGCATCTACTATATGGAAATACATTCCCCAAGAAGATCATATGGTGGTTACCTCCTTTCCTTCTTCAAGTCTGTGTCACCTTCCCAGTGAGGCAACAGTGACTCTGCCCACCCTACGTAAGCCATATCCCCTTCCATATTTACTCAGCCATAGCACTCATCCATTCTCATGTCCTTGGTAATGTATATATTAATATTTTGTTTACTTCCACTAGTTCCATAGACTTGTACATTCCGTGAGAGCAGAACCGGGTCTGTCTTTTTGCTATAAAATTCCCAGTGCTTGAATATTGCCCACACAGATATAGAATATTTGTTGAATCAATGAATCATTTCTTCCTTTATCTCCTCCAACCCAAATTTAGGAAAAAGAAAGTCAGACAATAGATTGAATTATTTATGCAGATATCCCGTATGTCTTTTCCTCTTTTACATTACTTTTATGAGAAATTGAGAAACATCCATATTACATACCCTATAAACATATACAAAGGTAGACAGAATATTAGAATAAAGCTCCATGTACCCAACAGTTAGCAACTCATAACTAACCTTTTTTAACCTACATTCTCACTAAGTAGTTTTTTAGTCTCTTCATTCTGAAATAAATAGCAGACATCATTCCATTTTACCCACAACTTTGTTTCTCTAACAGAAAAAAAGACTCTTCTTTTATATGTCTAGACTAACATAATCACACCTAAAAATATAATAATAATTCCATGACTTTATTAGTTTTTCTTCCTGACATGAATGAGTTCTTCAGCCTTAAAGGTGGCGGCTATTGGTCACCAGTCACGTAATGATTACACAGTCTGAGAATGACTTCTAATGTCACTTCTGACTCCAGCCCTGAGTTACTTTACAATCACCAATCTCTGGAAAATGAAAGTTATATTTAATTGGTACATATCTATAATGTACATCCTTGAAATTACTCAGAATAGAAAACCCTAAGAATTTTCAATGTTGCTTCTGCCAGGAAAATGTTCCTAACAAATAGGACCTACAGTGACCAACTGGAGCCTTAAAATATCAGCCTTACTCATTTCAAATGCAATGTTTGTAGAGAAGGAACAAAGGCAATAAGAAAGCATGGTTGTGTTTTCCAAGATAACAAAAAAATGTTGTCTTCTCAAACGGCATTCCTAATAATATGTGGTATATGTATACTATAGAGTTCTATTCAGCCACAAAAAACAATGGTGATCTAGCACCTCTTGTATTATCCTGGATAGTGCTGAAGCCCATTCTACTAAGTGAAGTATCACAAGAATGGAAAAACAAGCACCACATGTACTCACCATCAACTTGGTATTAGCTGATCAACAGTTATGAGCACATATAGTAACATTCATTGGGTGTCAGGCAGGTGAGAGGGGGGAGGAGGGGATAGATATATACATACCTAACAGGTGCAGTGCGTACCGCACCATCTGGGGGATGGACATGCTTGAAGCTCTGACTCAGGTGGGGCAAAGACAATATGTGTAACCTAAACATTTGTACCCCCATAACATGCTGAAATTAAAAAAAAAAAAGAACTTGGGGTTTTGACACAAAATTAGTAGGTAAAAGGATTTTGAGGGCTTCAGAGGGTTAAGCCAGCAGAACTCTGAGAAGCTTGAGTTGGGCATTTTGCATTAAAGTACCTTAGCTCTTTGTAAGTTGTAAAGCTCTCTACAGGCTCTGGATAAATGTTTATCCACCACAGAAACAATCACTAAATACATGAACTTCCTAGCATGGCTTATAAACATGACTTCAATTGCAGCTCTTACCTGCACTTTGAAAGCACCTTCATCAAGGGGTGGTGGAGGAGGGAAGTTTCCAGAGCCAGATGGGAGGGCACTGGTATCATCTAGAGGTGGAGGTGGGGGTGGAAGAAAATCACCTGCAGAAAGGAAATGCACACATTAAGTTAATAGGGATGCAATTTTACAGAACTCTTAAAAAAGATGTATTTGCTGGCATTTTAGTCCTTTGTAATTGGCTTTGACATGTAATTTTTTTGCCTTGTACAGCAATTATTTCCTATCTTAGTTCTCTTCAGTTTAATTAGTAGCCTTAACTTTCAGAAGAAAGAGCATCGGATTTGATATTTAAAAGTGGCATAAAAGCTAGTCGAGAGGGGTCGAATACATTAAGGAAGAGCAGGGAATGAACTTGGGTTGGGGGATGGGGTTGCTGAATTATATTAATATAAGACTTGGCACTTACCCTCAATACATTTTCAATCAAATAGAGGAGGAAAAATGTATACACAAGTAAGAAAAATACAAGGTGCAATTTATGAAGATGTACAGATTTCTAGAAATTAAGACAAAGTAAAGCTCATGTCCGGGTGGAGGTACAGGGAAAGCTTACTGGACCGTGTAATTGCCTTGAAGTATTATTACGTAGAGAGCAAGTCCACTCTAGGTAGAAAGACAGGGGAACACAGACATAGAAGTCAAAAGGCACAGGCCATAAAGAATAAGAAGTCATAACACAGCAAAAACATAAGAATATAAAATAATACTAGTGAGTTATAAAAATTAGAGAGATGATGAAAATAAGTTTAAGTGTGTTGCACATCTGGCAAAGCATTTGAATTTTTACCATGCATGAAGTAGGGAATCCAACAAGGATTTCAGAGAAAAGAACACTTGGTTACAATATGATTTACCAAAGACTAATCTAAAAAGTATCTGTGTGAGGGGGGGAAGGGTAAGAAATTTTAAATAAATATATAAAAGTATGTGCAGGACAGATTAGGAGAAACAGCAATAAGAAACATCCAATTTAGAAATCTATAGGCAATCACAGCAGGAAGTGAGAAGACTTTGGGATACCAAGAAACTCCAACATCTCTGACCAACAAGAGCAGTACATTGTAGTTAGATTGTTCAAAGAGTGTACCTAATCTCTAAGATCAGAGGTATAGACACATATATCCAAGAGCTGTACGGTTCCCGGTATGGAACTTTTTAAATAGTCTTTGCAAGAAATTCTATTAGGAAAACAGAAATTTCCATCTTTAAACCTTTTCTCTATTTGTCTTTTTCCTTTTAAAAAATAATGTTTTTGATGTATTGGGGAAGTAGTCTCTATTTATGAATAAGAAGTAGCTTTTCCTTGTACTTGAGTCATTTAAACACTTAATGGTAGTGCAGCAATCTCCATCATTTATCTCCATCATTAAATGAGTTGCTTTTGGATAATATTAAAACAACACAACTTCAGTCTTCAGAAAAAGAAGAGCCTAAGATTTGAAGGATGGGCACAGTGGAAGGATGGCGAATTGGTTTGGAGGTTCTGATATACCTTTGAAATGATTCAGTTCGTCTCCATCTGCCTTGTAAATAAATCTTAGAATTGGAAAAGTAGCTAACTGCTGTCAAGTCTAGCTCCCAGACAAATTCAGACTACTAAGCAGACAAGCACACTATCTCTAGAGTATGCCCACAATGCCAGGCAGCGTGTTAAGATTTCCATACACTACCTCGCATTCATACAACAACCCTCTATGCTTATGGTTCTCAAACTTCAGAGTTCATCAGAATCTCTGGAAGGTCTTGTTAAAACACAGATTATTGGGTCCCAACCCCAGAGAGTCTGACTCAGTCGGTCTAAGGTGAGCCCCAATAATTTGCATTTCTAATGAGTTTCCAGTTGATTCTGATGTTATTATATCTGGAATCTCACATTGACAATCACCACACTAAGCAAAGTACCATATTATTTCTACTTTAGGTCTAAAGGATTAAGTAAGTTCAATAACTTATGCCACATAGAAAAGTTTCTACTTCTTTTCCTGGGTACACAAATCTGGAGACATACTTTGTCCATTTTCTTACCAGGGTTGTAAGTCTCATAAATCTTTATTAACTCCATTTGGTACTTTCAAATATTAGCTATACACTAGAATCACCAAGGAAGCTTACCTAAAAATGCTGAGGCCCAAATTCCACCTCACACCAACTCTATCAGAATCTCCTGGATAGGAGAAAGGAGCGAGGGGGAGGGGTCAGGTGCCAGTACTCCTTTTAAATCCAGGTGATGGGGGGAGGTGGAATGAAAGAATGAATCAATGAATCAATCAATAAATCAACCAATCCCAGGTGATTCTAACGTACAGCCAGGATTGAGAAAATCTCATTTGGCCACAGACTGCAAGAAAAAAAAAGATTTAAAACCTGTTAAGTAAAGAGAACTGTCACCAGGTTTTTTTCTGGCTTTCAAAGTTACAATGTATCAGAAGCATGATCACACTGAGATCCTAAGTAGTAAAGCAAAGGGGAGTTAGGTTGCTGAAGACATGACTACCAAATTCTAGTCCACAGCTGATTTCCGGGTTTAAAATTCTGTCTATATCTATGTCTCTTTCACACCCACTTAAAAGGGGACTTCTGAATACCCTCTTACACTTCCTCAGATTCTGTTGTGTCATAAAGAATTGTCAGAACATCACACAGAATCAGAACTGAACAAAACCTTGGAGATCATGTTATCAAACCGGCCCATGAAAGCCACATGAACAGTTCAAAATGCTCCAGCTAATTAATCTTATAATAAAAGGTACAACATTCTGTCCTTCCAACTGCATCCTTCTTTATTTCTCTAATAGAACTTCAACATGGAAAGACACAGGCTGACGACAATCCTGGGAACATGAAAAGGAACAGAAAAAAATGAGATGTATTTCTTTAAAGCAATAACTTGAAAACAACGTAGACTCTATATTCTAGACAAAATTGGGCAGATTTTTAAAAGCCCTTATGATTAATAATAATTATCTGCTTTATTTAGATCAATTACTAACAGACCAAAGTTTTTAGTTTTTCAAGCACAACCATCAAAGGCTTCTTACTGCATTCTTTAGAAAGAAGCTCACATTTTCAAAAGACATAGAGGGATGGATAATTGTCTAGAAAACAGATACAAATGTGATAAAAGGAGAGAAAATGGGCCCCTTGGAGTTAAGCATACACTCATCAGGAGAGCTGGAAGCAAAAACTCTTAATAACTATCCTAAATCAGACAAAAAGTTATAAGAATTCTCACTTGTACCTCATTATTTTAATATATAAGTAAACAAGAGAAAATGCTTCTAAGTTCAGCTTTAGATATGAGGCAGAATTTACATGTTTAAGGAAGATGGGAAAATCACAAAATGTGTATATATGTGAGTGGGGGAAGGGGTGGAGATCCTTTTCATTCCAGTAGATTTTTGAAAATAAGGAAACAGCATGGAGTTTAGATGCTAATGTGGTGACCCTCCTGGAGAAATGTACCTGGAGAAATTAGCTGAGACACCTTCCCACTAGAGATGCTAGGCTGCAGACTTCCACATCAGCGCATGCCCTGTCCACTCTGCCTTGCAAGGGAAATCCCAATTCAACTCCCAGATCCTGTTACCTGCAGGGGTTTTGAATCAGTCAAACAGATAAGTCCCCCCCAAAAAATATAAACCCACCATCAGGTAATCAGCAGTAATATATTGAATCTAGGATAAATCTAAGTTTTAGAAGAGAAGAAGCGTGGCCACAGATACTTGTCTACAAGCCTGGTTCATTCCATATCCCCCTTACCTCATCGGCCAAAGCCTACCTACACACAAAATACATGTGTGTCTCAATTTCCATGTAAAATGGTTTACTTGAAGTTACACAGTTACACAGCTAATGAAATACAGAGCTAGAAAGGAATTCTCACTTTACTTTGGAGAGAAGCTAAGAAGGACCTCACTTGATTTGGTCCCTATCAACCTAAATGATTCAGTTAATATACGCAAAAGGTCTTTGCTTTGTGCAACAGGTAGTACCATGAGGCACTAACGGGTGACTTGGGCAAATAAAGTATTATATCCCTGATTCCCAAACACACGTCTCTGCCGATGTACTTCAGAAAGTAGTCTATGATGCACATTATTAACTCGAAAAGGGAGTGAGGAAAATCTCCAGATTTTCTTCTCCAAATTTTCCTCTCCCGGCTACACATATTTTCTCAAGCTAACCTTTCTCACCTAGGGGTACAAAGGCAGGGACACTGAGAAGCAGGTGTGACTACTTGATACCAGCTGAGCTATTAGCCACCGTAGTTACACTAGCACCTGCAGATAGGAAAGGTACCCATCTGAGCACAGAGCTTGCTTACCATGTCATGAAATAAATGGCCCAACCAGAGGGAAAAAATAACGAGAATTTACCTGCCAAGTAGGTAAATTATTGGCTATGGGTGATAGGAGTGAAAAAAACATGGGAAGAATTAAACTCAGACCATCGATGAAATTTGAATTCATTTACAAGGAAGAGAGGAAGGGAGAGAGGGAGGAAAAGAAAGCATCACTTTCTTTATTCTCCATACAAACACCATATAAAACTTACCTACACACATACCCAGAGATTTAGATAGCAGCCCGTTTTTGTGCCTCCTATCCAGTTCTATCCTAGCACCTGTACTATATTATTGTGTTCACGTGTGGCAGTCACTGTCTCCTAGTTAGTACTGAACCTTCTTACAAATAGAGCCCACTCATGGTTTATCTTTATATCCCCACCACCTGGCACAAGGCTTAGGCCACAGTACTTTCTCAGTAAATGCAGTTCAATGACTGAAAAATAAAAAGCCATTCAACTGCTCAATGAATGTTACAAAGAAAACGCCCTCATGTCTCTGACGATTACTTCTCAAATGGCAGTGTTAAAATCAACAGGAGATCTGGATAAAATGCAGACTCTGATCCAGTAGGTCTGGGTTGGGGCCTGGGATTCTGCATTTCTAACACGCTCCCAGGGGATGCTGGCATAGATCCATGTGCTCCAGCTGGAATAGAGAGGCTCCAGAGCGCCTTCTAGATGGAAGCTCTTGGTTGTATGGAGAATTTATAGTTCTTTGAGGAAAATATAAACC